GGACAGTCCACTTGCTTGTCTGATGCCCCTCACTCTCCTCCCACATCCCATTCTTCAAGCCCTTGGGCCAGCACCCTCCGCGTGCTAAGGCATTCACACAGCCTGGTGAGCTCTGTAGAGCTTCCTGCTCAGACTCTGGAAAAATAGAAAGCCATGTATCTCTGGGTAGAGATTTCACTTTGCAACTGTGATATCTCCCACTGTACCTCACCTTCCCAGACTTCCAAATGTGTCTCACTACCATAAAACTCTGAGTTAGATTAAAGGCCATTTTCTACAGCTCTTTGAAGAGGTTGAAGACTATCTATCTATACTGAGTATAATCTCTATATATCTAAAGAACCTGATTAGTCTAATTATAAATGACAAACTTAGATGACTATAATCTATATAATTCTCAATATCTATCTAACTTAAAGACTAAGACAATAAACGACTGTGAAACAAATGAGGACAATGACCTCCAAATATAAACAATGTACAAATATACATTGCAATATGGTAAATATATATCAATATACAAACAATATATAAGTATCTTAATCAAAGGTAGAAATGTACACTGCAATATGGTAAATATATACAATATCCTAAGAGCAGAATCTCTGACGTGCCCCATGGTAAAATAGCTGCATGGGGACGCGCAGACTGTGGCAGTGATGTGGGTCTCTAGATGGTGAGATCTGCCTTGTTCTCCCTGTTAGAACAGATGGTCAACTCTGCAAATAACCGAATTACATCCTTTCCTTTCTTGCAGTTCCCCAGTGCCTGGGTCAGGGTTCTCAGCACTTGGAAGTGAGAGGCTGCTCATGCTCACTAACAAAGAATATTTGGATTCAGCACGTAAGTATGTATGGGAAAGAGACAGAGGTGACAGCCATGTAGATGAAAGGGCCTGAGAAGGAAAAGAATTAAGATGCAGTCACATGAGGACAAACTCATAGACCTACAAAAGATGCCAACATATAAGGACCCATGGAGTATATCTTCCTTGCCCAAATAGATCAATATATTCACCTGTTACAGCAGTGGTTTCACGCTTTGTGTTCTCAAGGCCAAATCACATGATACAAACACGGGGACACAGGTGTCTTCCAGAAGGTGACCACTGTCAGACAAGTGTAACAGTGCAGGGCTTCACATGCACAACCCTCAGAATGGTCCTCAGAACTCCTGATGGCATTGCTTTCTTTCTAACGATCAATTCGTCATGAGGCCTGACCTTGACGATGGGGTCACTCACACTTGTCTCTCAAAGGCTGGCTCTTCATGCCTCCAGGGAGCAGCAGTGTCCCGTGGTAGAAGGAGTCACACCCCAGGGTCTGCATAAGTCCTGCCACCCATCAAGGTGTCACTGCCTCAGTCTGAAAGGGATCAACCATCTCTGCCGAGCTCCCTGAAACGGGGCTTCACTATAGCCAAGAATGCTGGCACCACTGGGAGGTAGCAGTGTACACCAACAGCACCCATAGGTGCCTCCTTCCAGCCTATCTCCAGTGGGACAGTTAGACTAGAAAGACAAAGTCCTTCCTATGCAGCAATTATTTTAATTTTTTTTACTTCAAAAACGACTATAAAACTATCAAATCACCTTTCTGCTAGACTGCAAGGCGATCTGTACAAAGTAGACAAGATGGATGGCTTCAAGTGACAGAGGCCCAGGCTCCAGTTCCAGCCTGCATTTGCTCATCAGAAAGATGGGGCTGAGAGCAGAAGAGACGACAGAAGGACCGGAGGACACGATGGCGAGAGCCTGACGCAGAGCTGACACTGAAGTGCCCATTGTTATCCTGAGGTATTTCCAGACACGCAGATAGCCAAAAAGCACCCGAACAACCAAAGAGCGTCACAGCGCATGAGCGTAAGGTCTGGACATTTTATTCATGGCCATAATCTACTTAGGGTGGTTTTATACCTAAATCTGAGAGTTGTGGTAGACCCTGACACTAGGTGCCAGGTACTTCCTTAAAAATATTATATCTGGCTGTTACATAGAGAAACCCTGTCTCAAAGTAAAAGAGAAGAAAATAGTTTTAAAATATAAAAGCCTTATAGTTCCATGAATTACGATGAATACCACTTTCTATTCTAATCTAGTCTTTTAAGATTTTTATTATTTTAAATTGCATGTGTGTGTGTGTGTGTGTGCATGTGCGTGAATGAGTACATATGAGAGCAGGTAGGTGGAGGCCAGAAGCAAAGGATTCCCCTGGAGCTGGGGACACAGGTGGTTGTGAACCACTTGACATTAGTGTGGGACCCAAACTCGGGTCTCTTCAAGAGTAGGATGTGATCTTAATCACTGAGCCAATTCTCCAGTCCCATTTTATTATTTTTGAGATGTATGTAGCCAAGGTTGGCCTTGACTCACCATAGAACCAAGGATGGCCTTGAACTCCTGAATCTCTGTTTCAACCTTCTGAGTGCTGGGATACAGGTGTGTGCCACCATACCTGCCTTATGTGGTATTGGGGATTGACCCCAGGGTACTATGAGTGCTGAGCAAGCAACTGGCCAGGTTGAGTTTGGGGACAGCTAAAGTGACATGCATGAGTGACAGGCCCACCAATGGTGGGAGGCTGGGGAAGTAAGACGTAAAGAGGTTGGGGAAAGATTTTTACAGCTCTGCTTGTTCGCATCCACTCACTGTTGCGGTCAGGACACTGATGGATTCAAAAGCCCCCACAGCACACAATACGTAGCATAGACAGTTTTTACTATACCATAAAGGAAAATCAAATCATATGAAATGTGTGCTTTGTAAGACAGGAAGAAGGGGAAATGTACGTGACACGTGAAGGGACAGACTGCCAAGGAATGCTGATCTATGCTGTTCACCTTGCAATGATATATAGCCATGCACCAATGTTGTACAATGAAAGGAAGAATGAAAAATATGTCACTCCCAGGATGACTTTCTCATGAATCTTTGTATTTTATTTCAACCCAGTGCTTTCATTTTTACTTTTTTTTTTAAATAGATAAGATTTTGTTTTGTTCTGTCTAACGAATCCTCCTGTCGCTGCATGCTGAGTATCTGGGCTTACAGGTGCTCACTAATATGTCCAATCATGGCTTGCTTCAGTTTCTATGTAGTCCCAAGGATCAAGTAACCCTTAACTTACTCTGCCTGTGAGTTTAGGTTTGTGGCCTTTATACTTTTGACCTCTGTTGCTTTGAACGGGCTCATAAACTACTTCCTTGGATATTCTGAAGAGAGGGGCAATAAAAACAAAGATGCCAAAGTCATTTAGATGGTGGGGGGAGGTAGGCGTTGAGTGGCCTTTTTGGCATAGGCAGGCAGTCATCGGCAGGGTTTCCAGATCCTTCCAGATCCAGAGCTGAGACTGGCAACAGACACAGTGCATGCGTTCAGCAATGGGGCTCGTTTTCCAACACGGACTGCTCCGTGTTTATTATAACCTTAGATCCTCGCCTCTTGAAGTCAGATTTTGTTTTATGTCTATCCATATCTTATTCTCCAGGCTCCATAAAAGGCTGCTCTCAGAGTCCCCAAATGAAGCTTACAGAATCTGACTACTTGAGATGCAGTTAAGGCAGATTTGAAAAGATCCTAAAACAGGCATTTCAAATTGATAAAATCATAACAGTGATATCTTCAAACTACCCTTGATTTCTGGTTATATGAACAGGGGAAATGCTCCAGGAACTAGGAAGGCAGGCCCTTTCGTGACAGCTCACACTCACTGTGGCCCACTGGAGTAGGTAGACAACAGAGAGGTGACTACACGGGGTGACCTTGTCTCTGGAGACTAGGCTGGCCAGCTTCAGCAAGCAGAGGTACAACAGCCAATTCTGTTTGAATTTCAGATTAAGAACCCTCACACACACACACACACACACACACACACACACACACACACACACTCTCTAAGTTCCTACTGAATGGTCACACTGAAAACTTACTGTTATAAGCAATTCAAATATACTAGGGTGTCTCACTGTTAACACCTCTACCTTGGCCTCTGTCCCTAGGAAATGTGGGCTATGGGGGAGATAGGAATGAATGGCACTGAGTGGCCGTCCCCCCTCCCACCTTTTCTCAGCTCCTCTCTAAGGAGGCTCCTCTCTGGCCAGCCCCCTCCATGTCTGTCTTCCCTTTGGAAATAAAAGCCTTCTCTCATTGCTCCCCTCCCCTCCGGCCAGCTTAAGCCCACTCCTCCTGAGGTTGCTGCAGGGAATCAGGTAGCTATGCCGCTGTAAACGCTGGTCTGCTCGGACATGCTATTGTTTTGTGGGGCGGGAATTATGTTTTGGACAGGTTTGGATGGGCTTTGGAATGAAACCTTTCTCCCCTGCCATGTTCTCACAGAGACTCCTCCCCCGCCCCATCAATTGAGAGGTTAAGAAGCCCATCAGGTGAGACTTCAAGACCTAAGACAAACCAGGGCTGAAGCAGGATGTTGAAGGTCTGCGGCAGAGGGTGTGAGGAACCCCAGAACACTGCTTGGATACTGGAAATGGAAGCCATGCCCCCCATACCCTGCTAACACAAACAGTGGTCTTTAGCAGCACCCCCCTATAACCAAACAGATGTCATAAAAACAGGGCAGAGAGGGCTCCTGCTTACAGACTTCCGAGAGCGTCTTAGAGCCGAACATTCACGGCTTAGCTATAATGCACGGGAAAAGGAGAGAAACATTGGCATAACAATAAACGAGGGGCAAGACGGAGGCGGGTGGCGCCACAACGCCATCTGCTATCGTTTGGTGCAGAGAAAATTAATTGTTGAAGGCATTTCATTTAACTTTGCGATATCTCGCAGTCTGACATCTGATTATTTCAGCTTCTGATATTTGCCATCTTCCCCTTAAATCTAAGAATGGTGGTGGGCGGGGAGGGGAGGGGGGCGAGTCTAATGGGAGGATAGCTCCATAGCAGGTGGATGATCTGGACCCAGGCAAGCAAAAGTCACTCCTGGCCACAATGAGATGCCTCCCACCTCCACACCCACTTCCAAAAGACTTATATGTGTTACCTTCCAGAGCAAGGCACCGGGGTGGGCTGGATGACCAGATAAGGTTGTGTAAGCATTCAATGTACCCAGAACCCTCGAGTTTAAATCCAGGGAAGCAGCGATAGGCTATCACAGTTCCCACGGGGAAGGAGGTCTGGAACTCCGAGATGTTCACGTAGCCATTGGAAGAGGCTAGAGGTCTCAGGCAGCCTGTGAAACGTCAAGGAAAGATGAAAAGGTTTCAGTAGGCTGCCTTCGCACACATGTACAGCAAATGGCACAGAGGAACTCTTTGGGATTGTCCCCTGGTAAAAAAAAAAAAAAAAATAAAAATAAAAAAAAAAAAACAAAAAAACACTGCAGACTTGGGTTATATGTAGACAGAAGTTTCCTGGGATATTTGAAACGGTACCACAAGGGTCAGATAAAGGGTTAGAGGGGAAGAAGGGGACGAGTGGCATATGGATTAGCACATCCCTAGCCCGGTGAGGCTGTACCAAAATGGAACCCCAGCATCACTTGAGGGGCTTTTGCAAAGCAGTGGTGCCCAGGACCCATGCCCAGGATGAGAGCCTGGGGGTCATTATGTGTTTATGAAGCTCCCCATGTCGTTTAAGGTGACCTCAGGGATGAGGGCCGCTGAGGCACCTGAGGAGGCAACAGACATTACAATGGCTAGTAGTTTGTGACTTGGGCAGGTTATATTCCATCACGGGACAGAATCCCGCTTGAGCTGGTACTACTAGATTTCTGGATATCTGGTTTTAAGTAAAATAGGTTAAGAGTCTTAAAGCGTGCTGGTTTTCAAGCTGGAAATTTCTCCAGAGGGCTTGACAGACACAGACTCCAGCTCATGTGTCTCAGCAGGTCTTGGTGGAGTCCAAGGATACGCAATGCTAATGGCAGGTGGGAGGGCTTCTGAGAAGAACAGCCGTGCAATGGCTCTGTGCACCAAACAGAACAAGTTGTGTGCTATCAGAGAAGATGGCAAACTGGACCCTGGGTCTAAATCACTGGCGGACTTTGGTCTTGAAGACTAAGCCATTCCTAAAGGGACAGAATCCTAGGGTGCCATTCCTGCTGTTATAGAACTGCAGTGAGCCGAGTCATGACACTGGAGGGCACAATGACATCACAGGGTGATATTCTTCCAGGGGGCAGGCATGCGTGTGAAGCAAACAACGGATAATAAAAACACCCACTTTTCTGTCTAGCTGTCGAACACAGGGTTTGGAGTCTGTGCACAACAGCAGATGGCCAAGCCCTCCTCTAGAGCTGGTTATCTTAGACACGGGTTTTTCTGATTTTGTTTTTTTCGAGATAGGGTTTCTCTGTAACTTTGGAACCTGTCCTGGGACTTGCTCTACTGACCAAGCTGACCTCGAACTCACAGAGATCCCTCTGCCTCTGCCCCCCGAGTGCTGGGATTAAAGCATGTGTCACCACCGCCCGACTAGACACTTGTTTTGAGGGGCTTTCTCAGCAAACTGCTGTAGTGCCTGCATACCAAAGTGAGGAATTTAGGGACAGTCACTCACAGTTTTGATTGTGTGGTATCTACCTCACTGCTATGCCTTAGGCTACCCAGGCCCACAATCTGAGAAAACCTTGACCCAAAACCAATCAGGATGTTTACTAGACCTTCCCCTCACCCCTCAAAGCAGCAGAGCTCAGCATCTTTTCACTCCATCTCATGGTTTTCTCAATCCCTGCTACCTCGGTGTGTGTGTGTGTGTGTGTGTGTGTACATGTTTGTGTGACAATATTACATGTGTGGAGGTTGAAGACTGATGTGTCAGGTGTCTTCTATTTTTCTCTCTCTGTGGGTTTTTTTTTGACAGAATCTCTCATTGTATCAGGAGGATCACTGTCTTGGCTAGGTTGGTTGACCAAGAGCTTGCCCTGTCTCTGTACCCCAGCACTGGGCTCTAGATGCTTGCCAGCATGCCAAGCCCAGCTTCTGTGGTCCTGGAGATCCCAACTCAGATTTTTATGCTTGCAGGTACTTTACCAACTGAGCCACCTCTCATGTTCCCTCCCTTAGATGGTTCTTAATCTTCCTAAGCTAAAAACTGGTCATGGTTGCAGCAAAAGTGAAGTGCAAAGAGTCGGAAGGAAGAGTGGTAATCAGGAAGAAATGGAATCAGTAACTGAGAAACAGCAGATAAATCCATTAACAGGGACAAAAGGAAGGCATGGGATGCTTACACAGTTCAGCTGGCTGACACGGTACCAGGAGGGCCCAGTACTCCTTGCCATGATGGGGCTCTAGTTCGAAGCTGCGTGTGGGAAGATGCTGGGCTTTCCCAAATCATAACTGATTTGAACCACGGTGATCAGGGCAGGCACACACTCTCCAAAACCTTAAGTATCCATTAAAAAAAATGGCCTCTGAGCAGCCTGCCCTCCACTCCTCCTGAGGAGATGGCAGGAGCTATAATTTGTGCAGCTAATCAGCACTGAGAGGGAAAGATACGCTCACTCTTGGTTGGAGACAGCCCATCCTAAATATAACAGTGGGGAACAGGCTTCAACTCAATAGTTCAATGGGATCTCCATTTGCACTTCTAGATAATAGAGAGATGCCTACTGGAGCTTTATAGGTGCAAATAAAAGTTCTAGAATGAAATGTCACTCTTAAGAGCCAATTACAATTCACCAGGGGGCTCGGAGAGGTGCCAGGCTGTCTGCGGCAACTCAGAAATCCTTCTTTCTGTGCTGTGCCAGCCGGGCGGCCAGAGGAAAGCTGGCGGGGCGGCTGCTGGCGGGGCCGTCTCCAGCAGCAATCACGCACAGGACAGAGAGTTCTGAGGAGCAACAGCAGGGCTGGGGCCTGTGGCGTCTGCGGCGTCGGAAGTGGCACATCTCTTAAGAGTAACCAGCTGCAGGCCCGGTGATATAGGCCTGTCGTTCCAGCTGTTTGGGGGACTGAGGCAAGAGTAACATAAGTACAAGGCCTGTCTGGGTTATGGAGTGAGTTCAGGGCTAGCCTGGGTAATTTAGTAAGACCTTCTTTCAAAATTAGGAGCAAAAAATGGGAATGGGGCATAGCTCAGAAGCATGGCGCTGAACAGCATGGGCGAAACCTTGGGTTCAAATCCCAGTAATACAGTAAAATAAAAATAAAAAGAAGAAGGATAGCCAGTCAGTACTCTTGTTACTGACCTAGAGAAGTCATTTCTTAAGGAGATTTTGAGAAAGGGAGAGGGCCCCAGGTTGGTCAGGCAGAGCAACAGTGAGGTGTATATCTACACTCTCTAAAATAACACCCTGAAAGGCCACAGGGAAAAGAATTCCTAAGGAACACAGTGTATTTGAGCAATCAAGTGGGAACTGGAAAGAATGAGGGGCGGCAGAGAAAGGATGTGGAGAAAGCAGGCCTGCAGGGAGTGGCTGCAGTCTGAGGTGGCTTTCTTCCTGCCCTCTAGCCCTGGAAAGGATTAGTGTCTGGAATGACTCTGTGGCTAACGATCTTCATTTGCATGAGGCGCCCAGACTAGGCGCCAGTTGCTTGTTTGGTAGGCAGTCTCTGGACAGATAAATAAATCCATGTCTCTTTTAGGGCAGGCTAGGGACACAGGCCACAGGACAGAGCGTGACGACCGGGCTCCTCCTCTGTCCTCCCAACTCTGAACCCTTCGTTCCCTCCCAGGGTCGCAACTCTTAAGCTCTTGTGTAGGAAAACAGAGGGCCTGCCAGTTGTGATTCCCCAGCACCAAGCTAACATTCTTCTCAACTTGAAAATGCCGGGGCTTTTGGAGCAAATCTGAATGGCCCTCCTTCTCTCTCAAACTATTAATTATGCATTGTTTGTTTTTTGGTCCTTTAGACCAAGTCACATGTCAAAAAATAAAATCAGAATTAATGTGAACTCAAGGGCTTATTTTCAACAACAGGTTCTTCTGTACACGGTGCCTGGAGCAAATATGAAAAGTGTGGAAGGGTAAATATTCGCTGGGTGGCTTGGACGCGTCTGAATGTGACTATTTCTCTGCTTTTCATGCATTATAAGAAGGGATACTATTGAAGAAAAAACAGTCTCTGTAAGATGGGCTTGCTATGTCCTCACCACTACTGAAGAAATATTGCACCCTGCAGTTTCCACTGAGCAGACAGCAATTCATCCATGCGTTCACAGCCCAGCTACAAAGCCTCCAAATTATTTTTAATTTATTATTATTATTACTATTGTTGTTAGTGTGTGTGTACACATGTATGTGTCAGTGTGGGCATGTACATGCATGTGCGCATGCTCTCGGGCACACATGTGAGTGCCTATGATGGTCAGTGCCATCCAGAGACCAAACTCAGGTTGTCAGGCTCATAAGCGAGAGCCTCTCCCTGCTAAGTCCCTTCACAAGCCCAATTCTCCTTATTCTTAAACTATTTTATAGTTTTCTGTGGAAAGGGAGTGATGCCCAACATACTAAAGAATAAGGTCTCTCCCGTCTAGACTGGGAAATCTGGGTATACGGTGCTGAGTCACCATAAGGAGCAGTAAGATTCTATGAGAAGTCACCAAAAGACAGGCCGGGACCTGGGGGTGGGGGTGACTTAGTATCTTTCTGCCATAATCTCTGTGGCTGTGTTAGAGGCTCATGGACGTGCACCTTCTTCAATGAAGTCACGACAGGTACCGTTGGCAGCAGGGGCTCCCATCTCCTACCTTGACAGATGGGCAGGTTATCCCATGTTCCATCATCACGACATAATGAGACCATGTTGTATAGGTCAGGGTACCGGATCTTGAATCCCTCATGACAGGTGATGATTAACTTATCTCCATGTCTGTATGTCTTGTTATGAATCTCAGCATCTTCAATTTGGGGGATGCGGCAGTCTGCAATAAAAGACGAATGTTACTTTGTTTTGCAATTTAAAATGTTAACTGCTTTGCAATGAAGCTCTCATTTTTCAGCCCTGGTCTCAAACTATACAACAAACAGATGCATGGTACTTCATCTGTCATCAGACTCAGCTGACAATGACAAGTTCACAGCCTGTGTCAGAACTAACAGGAAGAGGGACCCAGTGTGCAGGGACCTCCTCATAAAAAAAACTTTATCTGGTGCTTCCTATCTGTGGTAGTTCAAATGTAATTGGCCCCCATAAGCTCATAGGGAGTGGCACTTTTAGGAGGAAGTGCGCCACTGTGGCGGTGGGCTTTGAGGTCTCCTACACTTAAGCTATGCCCAGTGTGAACTCAGGTCACTTCCTGTTGCCCATGGATCAAGATGTAGAACTCTCAGCTCCTTCTCCAGCCCCATGTCTGCCTGCACGCTGCCTTGTTTCCTGCCATGATGATAATGGACTAAACCTCTGCAACTGTAAGCCACCCAAATTAAATGTTTTTCCTTTATAAAAGTTGCTGTGGTCATGGTGTCCTTCACAGCAATTGGAACCTACCTAAGACACTACCAGACAGTTGATGTGAATAATTCTGAAATGAATGAAGAGCTGGCTGTGTTTCCAGCAGGCTTTAACATGCTGCAGCCTGTCAGGCTGGTTGCTGCAGCTACCCAGGCATGGTGAAGGGCCTCGATGAGCACCATGTGCAGAACCACACGGAGCCTGAACTGTCCTTGCCTTTGCTACCAACACTTCCCGTCTACACTTTTTGCTCTTCAAAGAACACCGGGCCAACATATACTCTTGCCAACCTCCTAAGGTTCAGGACAGTCGGGCATACTCTGTGCTCACATGGAGTGACTGAGACCAAGTGAAAAGGACAATGAAAAGGAAAAACAGGAGAGAGTTAAAGGGGCATTGAGGGCATGCAACAAAATGACAAAAGCACATCGAAGAGTGCAAAGACAAGCTACTTCCACAAGTCACCATAGAAACAAACCGCAGTGCTCCTCACTGCCACGTTGGGACTCTTCTTATCCTACCCCTGAGCACCTCACAACAAGTCCCCTCTGGTTCAAGTCACATCAACCACTGTGCATTTATCCCCATCCCTCTTGAGTACATCCCTGTTAAATGTTTCTGATTTTGTGTATATTATTTTAGTGTTGGGGATGGAAAGCAGGACACAGTGCCTTCTAGGTAGATGCTCTATCTCGAGGTTTTATGGCCAGCCCTGAGAAATGTTTCTGATCTCCAATGCACAAAGGTTTATTACCTGGCAAATTTCTGAATTATTAATTTTTTAAAAACAAGGTGAAAATCTAAGGGTAGTGTTTTTCCAATCAGAAACTTCCTCCAGAAATTCTTCAATGTGCTAAAGGATCTTTGGCTTCCGAGCTGCTCCCCAGAGTCTACGGAATGCACAAAGTGGCTGGAACAGCATGAACAAGAGTCCTGCTCATCAGGATGCTTCAGCTTGGAATTGTCAGCTCTGAGGCACTGAGCCCTGGAAGCCCTGATACAGGTAGAAAGGGAGGATTTCACAGTGGCTGGCAGCGGCTAGCTTTGGTTATTCTACAAAGGGTCCATCAAGGGCATGATGGGGTTGGTCCTAGGTTCTCTAGAAGTAGCATGGGGGCAGGGCTCAGCAGACTGCAGAAATCAGGGCATGAAATATGGAGAAGGCTCCGAGAGAGAGAGAAGCAGAGGACATTCACTGTAGATCATCTGTAAGTCCAGGCGTATCTTTATCTTTGCCACCACTAACTTGAGAGCTAGATCTGTGTCACTTTGGCACAGGTCTTCCCCAATGTATTCCCATTCCCGGACTCATGTGCACTCCTGGTGAAGAAGAACTGCAGGGAGGGGGCACTGTCTAAAGTTCCACCAAGAAGAATTCTGGGAGTGCAAGGCCCTCTGAGCCCAGTCAGCTGATTTGGGCACACCAGGGGGTCCTCGCTACAGTCGAGGCTAAAGAGCTGTCTACTGGCTTCTATCTCGCCTCTCATCCACTTTGTATCAGTCTGTGGAAAAGAATGCTCTAACCATTCAAGCTTCACCGAGAGTTTTCTGAGTTAAAATAGCCTCATTTCTTCCAAATCAAGCCTAGAATAGTCACAAGGTAACTGACAACTCTCTGCACCCCAGCGCTGCCTTCCTCTTAATGGAAAATGTGAATTATGTTTTCCTCAATGGCACTAAGCAGAAATTATGCGCAGCAAGTAAAAACACATTTATCAAGGCATCTGTCTGTAAAATCTCGGTGTAAACAGTTCTTGCAGTGGTAATGTATATGTCTAAACAACCCTCCCATGATGGGCTTTAAATGTCTTTAAAAATTAACTAGCATAGTCAGGAGGCAGCCAGTGTGGGCAGTAAAGTCAATGGACAGAGTGGCCACCTGGACATCACACACAGGTTGATAAAGGCTGGTCAAAGGGAAACGCTCCCAGGCCTGGCTCACAAGTTTGACTTTCCAGCCTGTGTTAAGATTAATGTGGGATGTTTCACCCAGGTTAGGTGTGCTGCAGTGTATATGTGTGTGTGTGTGTGTGTGTGTGTGTGTGTGTGTGTGTGTGTGTTGGGGGTGTGATATACTGTGGTTAAAAAAAAAGCCTATATGGGGTGACGCAACACCAGTCCACTACATGGGAGAGCCACCCAGCAGTAAGGTTTTGGAGTTCAAGTCCTACTAAAGCCGAGATCACAGACTGAGATGTGCTCGAGGACCAAGGGGAAAGCTGGTCCAGGTCAGCTCTAACAAACCTTCAACTTCAACAGAAGGAAAGGTCACCTATTCCCTCTCTGACTGCTCATGCACACTGGGTAGCATCCACTTCTCCCAGCAGGAAGGGTAAGATGGGGCCTGGAATAAGTATCTGCCCTGAGGAGCTTTGGTGACAATAAATAACCACCGACCTCATTGCTAGGAAAGGAATCAGAACCCTGAGTATCTGAAAATATATGTCTAATATTCACTAATGCTGCTGAAGTTTTACAGAGGAATACGGATGTTCCTGGGATTACACAGGAGCAAGACACAGAAAAGCTCACTGTAAATGGAAAAATTAAATGATGAAAATGAGGCTGAGGAGAGGGCTCAATCTGCAAAAATGCTTGCAAGCCTGAAGACCTGACTTCAAGTCCTAGAACTAATCATCATCATCATCATCATCATCATCATCATCACCACCACAACCACCAGCAACACCACCACCATCATCATCATCAAAGCCTAATGAGTGAGCTCAAGGCCAATGAGAGACCTTGCCACTCCTGGAGGATGACATCCAATGTTGTCTTCTGGCTTCTACATGACTGTGCACGCACATGTATGTGAATCCCTCCCCTAGCAATGCATGCACACTACATAACCTACTGAACCTCCCAGATCAGCGACCCAGTGCGGTACAGTATAGTTCACTTTCCCTCCCTGTCTTGCAGTTGAGTAGAAGCTGCAGTTTGCAGCCCTTGACCAGCATCAGAATGGAATCCCGCGCTATGCATCACTAACCCATGAAAACACAAAACTCACTATGTGAAGGGAGCTTTCTACTGAGTGGGCATCGCTCCCACAGCATGGGAAAGGCAAAGCATCATTAAGCTGAACCATTGTTAAGCCAGGGACTGTTTGTCACACAACTTCCTAGGCCACAGATTCATCCATTCAGATAAAAAACAGACAAAGCCACAGCAAACGTATCATTAGCAAAGACTGGAAGCATCTGTCAATATTTGATCCTGTCACACAGAATCCGGCCAACAGTTAGGACTCAGGTTGGCGAGCCACAAATGGTCACTTTCAGGATGTAGCCCGAGGGGTATCAAAGGTTTCTATTCTGAAAGCCCTATTTCACCAGCCCACCACGGCCATTGCTATACACTGAACCTACTAAAAACAGACTTGGTGTCATGAACAAGTCCAAAAGGAGAGATCCCGAGGCAGTGTTGCACAGTTACACTGAAGTACAGATTAATTTATTAGACTTGTCAGCAGAGCAGTCCCAGGGGGCGGGGGCGGGCGCAGGAAGAATCAAAAAAAAATTTTTAAGATGTTGGTTATATGTAAAAATGCAAAACCATTCCCAGGACCATGAATATATGATGTGTAGATACATATGAGCCTCACAAGCCACATCATTATGCTAAAGGCTCTAAATGTCTTGCCGGAAAGAATCTGATGTACATTCCCATGAACTGGCATCAGCAAAGCTTACTTATTCTCCTTCTTCTTTATTCATTCATTCATTCATTCATTCATTCATTCATTCATTCATTCAGCGGTCCAGTGTGTCCTAAGTGTGGCGGACAGAGACGTCCTCATTTCCACTCTTCCAGCATTTGCATGAGGGACGCTTCTAACCGCAAAATTAAGAGACAAATGAGCTAGAAAATAACAGGCGAATCTTGCGACTGCGGTGAGCTCATAATGTGGTGATAAGACAGGGAGTGACTCGGGGACTCATTTAATTCGAGCAGACAGGCAAGGGGCCTCTGAGGAAATGACATTTATTAAGCTGAGACCTGAATGGCAGCACAGATCCAATTACACGTGGATCTGGGAGATTTCAGGCAGAATGGTTAGGTTAGCACAAAGGCCAGAAAGGAGCTTGGGGTCCTAAAACACACCAGGGAAGACCTGTGTGTTTGGAAGATAGCAGCCAATTGGGGGTGAGGGGAGACCACAAACCACACAGGGCCTGATAGATTAGGACAGGGAATGGGGTTTTATTTTAGTGGGATGGGGCACTATTAGACCCTAAGCTTGTAGAAGAGTCTGAATTATATTCTCAAAAGGTTTGTCACTTGTGCTGTGAAGGAGAAACCTTGGCCAAAGGTATGGTCTTGCCCTCAGGTCCTGGAGTGTCCTGCCTGAGATAAGGACCCTTGCTCACCTAGTAGAGTCAGGCATGCTACGTAGTCTGTGTAATTTGGGACACCAAATATCAGTTCAGCTTCCTGGTGGGACTGGAGACCAATATCAGCCCTAAG